ATCTTAATAATTCCTTCATTCATATTTGATTTCATAAACATCATAAATATCCTAACATCAGATTTATATAAACAAATAATGTTGTTTATTGATTTCATAACACTTGCACTTACACTCTCTGACAATCACTTGTACTTGTCACTAGATTACTTATCATTGCATATGTTAATATCGCTTTTACTTTGTATTGTTCACTTATCACTTTTCAGTTGCACTTTCATTCTCAATTACATTTTTATTAAGGTTTATGATTTCTATTTTTTTTCGTCTTTTAAGAGTTTCATGTGCGATACTATTTTTGTTGGCATCAACGAGGGCACTAAAGATCCCCTTCACCACATGGATACATCACATATCACTTTTTACTTTTCACTTTCACTTTCACTTTTCCAATGCATCCAAACACAGAACGGTTATGCATTAGGTATCACTAATCACTTTCTACATACACCCGAACATGGAACGGTTATGTATAGGACTTCTTAGTCACATATGGCTGAGGTTATATCCACGGATAGGGTTCACTACACTTCACTTGCTAAAATGGCTACACACACACATCCTCCCCTCATTGATACTGGTTCAATGGATTTCCATATTTTTTAAATATTCATTATTATTTTGCAAATCAATCTCATCGCTCTAACATACTTATTTACAAAACTTAAATACTTACATATCTCCAGATATAACAAGTATACGCTATTTACACATATTCCGATACAAAGTTTAACTTTCATAACTATCCAATTATTAACCAATACTCATATATACATGCACACAATTTATACAAATAGTTTTATACATATACATACACACAACACATATATGTATAGCTTTACATATATACATACATAACTTTATTAGTTTACTGAAATTTAAAGGATAATCCCTACAACCACAACACTTATACATTCTTACCTATATACACTATACCCATACATAGACTCATACATCATTTATTTACATTAATTCACAAACCATTCATTTACACATATTCTAATGCTTATATACTCATTATGCATACACAGAAATCATGTTTATGTAGGTTTACACTTATCATATCATACACATAAACTCGCTTTTACACATTTAATTATATATATTCATGAAACACTCACACACGATAACATACATACACATGATGAGTTTACTGAAAATACGTCAAAAAACTTAAACAATTTATAAAATTTGTAAATAATTTATTTTAAGGAAAATAAAATTTTATAGAAACATGAGCGTTTCTAAATGAGACTAACACAATCCCTTATCTACAATCGAATTGGAAATTATCGAAATATTTATTATCGAATTTATAGTCATATCCACATCCTAGTTATTACCCGAATAATTTTCTTATTTATAAATAGAAATTACATGAGTTAAATAATGAAAACTATAATACAAAAGTGGATAGATTTTTTTTTTTAACCTTTGACACGCGATTCAATTCGCCAAGGTCCCTGCATGTCAGCACACGCCTAACACGTGTCTCCGTGCATCGCCACATGCTTAGACATGTGGCACTCATTGGACCACCACGCACCACTATCGGAACTGCCGTTTGCTGTCGCGACTTGATTAGCAACCACCACAGAACACCTTGTGCGCTCAAATCTGGTATAGATATGTTGGAATCACATTAAAAAACACCATAGACCCACTGAATTGCACGATCGACCACTACACATAAGCCTTTTTCTTCGAGCATATCCGTTGCAGGTCTTCTTCTTTCCTGGCCGTGTACTGTATCCTTTTATTTTTAGATTCACACGTCGATCACACAGATCCAATCGTCGCACGTACCAGACCGCCTTATCTCTTTATCTCTCTCTCTCCCCAAGCTGCTTTCTCTCTCTTCGTGACCCACTCTCTCTCTTTCTACTCTTTCGACTTTATCTCTCTTCTTTTTCGATTTTCTTCTACTT